CTCTCTCTCTCTCTCTCTCTCTCTCTCTCTCTCTCTCTCTCTCTCTCTCTCTCTCTCTCTGTCTCTGAAGTTCCCATCCCTAAATGGGGCTGGCCTTAAGGTCTATTAGTTCCCTGGTGAAGGGCGGTTCTCATAGCCACTGGGAGGAGGCCGAGGTCCTTCCCTCCAGCTTTGAGCTCCCATCTGGTGGGCGGCCTAGAACAGTAGAGGGTTTGTCATCAGCAGCTCTCCCAGGCTGTGTATGTAGCCCGAGTTCAAGGAAAGATACAGCTATTCTTTGGCCAGCTAGACTCTTGTGGGTAACCTGGCACTGAGCGCTTCTCCTGCTGGCACTGCCTTGCTGGGTGCAAGGGGCACTTTTGCTTCAGGAGGGGAGGGAGGTTGAGGCAGCCTGAGGTGAGGACAATCACCTGGAAGCTGGGAGATCAGGCTGCCACTCTCTGGGGCGGGGGCCTGACATCATTTAACCAGTCTGGGTCTCAGGCTCGTCCTGAGGGGATCCAACAGATCAGATCAAACTTCTTAGCAACAAAACTCTTTAATGAAGTTGTCCTCAGAACCTCAGGATATGAAATAGACAAAAGGAATGGGGGAACTCAGAGCCTCTTTGAGTCCCAGTTTACCCATCTGTAAAGTGAGGACCATTTTGTGCCCCCTGTGCTGGGCTGGCGTGAGGACTGAAAGAAGTGAATACTGTAAAGTGCTGGGCACAGGGACCAGCAAAGTGAGGGTCTTACTGACTGTAAAGTGCTACGCACAGGGACCAGCAAAATGAGGGTCTTACTGACTGTAAAGTGATGCACACAGGGACTGGCAAAGTGAGGGTCTTACTGACTGTAAAATACTGAGCATAGGGACTGGCAAAGTGAGGGTCTTACTGACTGTAAAATACTGAGCATAGGGACCAGCAAAGTGAGGGTCTTATTGAGAACCTTCAGAGCAGAGGACGTACATTGCCTATGGGGAACCTGGGGAAAGGAGCCACACTTATGTTGCCTGCCTGAGCCACCTGGCCAAGCAGGGGCACTGCCCAGCTCCCCCTGCCCCCCAGAGCCGATGAAGGCAGTGCCAGGATCTCCCTTACCTGCCGAGAGGAGGTGCTGTTAACGGGATCGGGCACCGGTGCAAGAAGGCTGGGTGGGTTCTTTTTGTGGACACTATTCATACCAGGCATTTTAGTGATCTTACAGGCTTTGCTACTAGGGCTTGAATTCTTACGCTTTTTTCCTTCTGATTTGTCAAAAGAGAGGGGTAGAGAAGACATGGCGTTGTGTGAGGCCAGAGAGAGGTCCCCCGCATGGAGTGCAAGGGAGGGCACAGAGAGGGGACAGGGGCCACTGCTGCCACCCACAGCGCCCACCTGTCTCACTAGGTCCATGGGGCTGCTGGGCAGTGAGGTCCGTCCTGAGGGCTCCAGCTTGGCACTGAGTGGGCTCACCCCATTATTTGAGTTGTGCACAGACAGACTGTTATAGGGAGGGGCTGCCTGATAGGAGTTCAAGGAGGAACTGGCGTTCAAAACGCAGTTCTTTCTGTGGGGCCCTGGCAATGGGGATGAGAAGGAAGCCTGCAAGGACAGGGAGGAGGAGGAGGAAGTCGAAGACTGCGGCTTCCTCTTTTTGTTACTTGGAGATTCGTCGCTACGAGCTGACAGGTCTTTGACTTTTGAGGATTTGCTGGTTTTGGTTTTGGATGGCTTGTGGGACGGGGAAGGAATGACAGCTGGTATCGGGGACACGGCGGAGGGGGCCTTGAAGGTTGAGTCCATGATGCTGAGGGTTGCAGCCACATGGGGAAAAGCTGTGGTGTGGGACATGAGGGCGCGTGGGTCCGGCGATGCCACAAAAGCCGCGTCTGAGAGCATGGCTGATGTCATTATGTAAGAAGAGGTGAGTCTCGAGCTGATGGGAGCTGAAGGAAGGTACACAGCACTGGGGTTGCTGAAAGGCTGCAAAACGGATGCTGCAACAGGGGTGGTGATGTGGGCTGCTGGCGAGGGCATGGGGCTCTCTGCCGCAGGAGGGATCTTCCTAAACATGAGAGAAGAGCCAAAGAGAAACAGTGAGACGTCGGGTGGGCACTGCCTGGCGGGGGCCGGGTGAGTTTTGGTCGGCAGGGCTACAGAGGACACCCGGTAGGACCAGACTATGGAGAATGAAGCCTTGACGGATGGGGAGAGCTGGAGGATGGCTCTTTCCTACGCTGCCCACTAACGCAACATCAGCACCTGTCTCCACGCCTCAGACCCTGCTCTCTGTGCTGAGCCACTGAAGATTGGCTGGTTTGGGTTCACAAGGAAACAGCAAATGCCGTCAGGACTATAAATATCCTGAGCAGTCTTCCCCGACCTCACACACCGTTAGCAGTGCCGAAAGTGGTTTTCAGCGAGGAGAAAAAGCCTCAGCCACCTGGGCATGGCCCCCTCTGCTCACTGAAACCTCTTCCATCCCTCTTTCCCATGCTACGTTTGGCTGGAGGTATTTTGTAAAGAAACCATCTCCTAACTTGTCGGCAAGTTTGCTACCCAATGCCTCCGGCTACTCTGAAGAGAGGCATTTCTAATTTAGCTCACGGCCACTGGGAAAGGGAAAAGAACTTGGAAAATGATATCAAGTTGCTCATACCTCTCTCCCTCACTCTACTTCAGTGGGGTTGACACACAGCTGCCCTACAACAAGTCCTCCTGCTCCTGGGCTGGGAAAAGGCGAGAGTTCTGGACCAGTGTGCCCAGAGGGGATCAGGAATTTAGATATGGGCAGAAGGCCAGCCTGTGAACAGGGGCTCAGAGAGCCACTGCTTTCATCCACTGGCTTTCTTAGAACTGATGGGGGATGGAGCCTGAGGACCAAGTCCATGGACTAATGCTAGCACCAGGCAGTCAGGGTATCATTCTTAAGGCCTCTGCATATATTTCTGTTTTTCAGACAGAGTCTCACTATGTAGTCCCAGTCTTGAATTTGTGGTCTTCCTGTCTCTACGTGTGGGATTACAGGTATGTGAAAGCACCTAGCCATAAACCCCTCTGCCTTCTGGTGTGTGCTGTAAATGGCTCCATATGCATAAGTGCTTATGACTTAGGTCTACGCTGCTTCTACTCTTGGGACCCAGAGATGGTGGCCATGGCAGCTATGGGATCACAGCCCACTCCTGATTCTGAAAGAAGTAAGTGGCATTTAGGAGCCAGAGAATGCTTTGTTGTTTTCTGCAGAGCTCTCTGCTTGCTCCCCAGTGTGTGTCCTCAGATTTCCTCCTCTGAGGAGGTAAACTTGAGGCATGGGGCAGATGGGCTCGCACTGTCCCTTCCCCTCTGCAGGCCACCTGCAGCTGAGAAGAGGCCCTCTCCTGGCATTCCCCTCTGAGGATCTTGTCTGCCCTTCCTAGTAGAGCCCGTGGCTTCCATCTCTAGGGTGGAACTCAGCAGCATCCTTGAGTGTGGAAGCACAATGTCTCTGAAACTGTCAGACCAAGGAGATCAAATACGAAAGTGTTGCCAAATCCAAGGCAGTCGTGATGGCGCCTGAGAACTTCCTTCTTCTCCAGCCCCTGGGGACCTCAGAGCTCCTGCCATCCCTAAATAAGATGCTGCACAGATAGATCCCGGCCGTGATGAATGAATGAGGGTATGGACAGATGGATGGAGGGGCAGAGGATGGGAAAGCAGGTGATCTCAGCAGCAACACAGCTGTATTGTCAGGGACTACGCATGCTGGGCAGGGATCCCCATGGAGGCAGGCCCTGGAGGTCTGCACACATCCTCAGAACTGTCTGGCCCTGCACAGCCCTTCCCTGAGAGGGTGGGGGGCAAGGTCGTGGAGGCACTAATAACTCCTCTGCTGTCTTTGTTACCCTACTGTAATACTGCAGGTGCCCGCACCGCAATGTGCTCCCTAGGGGAATTTACAAGGCCCAGGTCATTAATTTACTTAAGGGGGTGGGGCTTCACTTCGGGACCTTGAATGTCACATCCCGAATGTTGGGAATCTTAATGTCCCAATTTATATTTTGCTCATAAACAGTATACATACTTCAAATTCTGCAGACAGGCAGAATTGAAGTCCTAAATCTTACTTGGCCCCGGCTCGAGAATGGAATGGCTGCTACTTCTGCTATATTTTCTAGACCTTCCTTTCCTCTCCTCTCCAACCCTCTAAAGGAGAAGTGAGAGGTGGGGCTGTCCCTGCGAGCTTTCTCCCCGATGCTAAACAGTCTCAGTGTTCCCTAGGTGCTCACTGGGAGGGGGTTTCACCTTTGTGGGGGCCCCTGACTTTGGCTTTGTACACTGGCCTACGGGAAGTCCCGCATAAAAGCCCAGAGATGTAAATACACTCCTGACAGCTCCCGTCCTCCCCTTGCCAGCTGCCGTGGAGATCCAGATGCTGACCTGGCTGAAAGAGAATACTGTGTTGGCGTCTCCTGATGCAGAGTTAAATGCTTGTTAAAGAAAAAAGAGTCTTGGCCGTTCCTTTTCTTCCTAATGTCTTCCATGCCCCCATCGGCTGCCATCCCTCCAGGTTCGGGCCCATCAGGGCCTGGAGTTTGGGCACCGAGGCTGAGAGGGCAGCGGGGCGCTACGCTCTCCAGAGTTGACACCCAGGCAGCCCCAATGTTGCTCAGTGACAGCAGATTGGTTAGGCAAGTCCTGAACAGAGGGGAGGGACCTGAGGCCCTGTGGCTCGGGCTTCTGTGCCTGAGGAGGAAAGGAACACGGAGCTTGAGCTGACAGTATACCAGCGCGCGAAATACAGACCAACACATTCCTTCCACGCGCCAGGGGTTCACACTTCCGTCACATAGGGGGCCACAGCGCTGGGAGAATCACCAGGGCTGGCTGCCGTGTTTGGAAGCTAAGGCAGAGGGCCAGGTTATCCGATAACCAAGAACTACATAATCCCTGTGCAGGACTTTCTGAGATCTTCAATGCACACAGACAGGAGCTAGCGATGCCCTATGGACAGGCAGGGCAGTTACCCGCGTGGGACAATGATAAGCTTCTCCTTTGGCCCTTTCCTAGTTGATATAACAACATCTATCCTAAGTCTCCTGTGAGAAACAAAGCGGGGCTCAGGTCGATGTGTGCAGAGGGGCTAAGGTGAGCTGCCTTGGGAGAGGAGTAGGCTGTGGGTTCTGTTTCCTGTTTCTCGGGGTGCCCTGTGGCCTCTCCTGGGCCTCACTGGGCAGGCTCGGGGTCTCAACTGCTTTGGGGCCCTAGTCTAACACGATCCATCCTTTTAGTGGAGAACACGCCTAAGCTCCCTTAGGAGGAGCACGGGGTGGGGACACTTGGAGTACACTTGGGGACAAAGTGTAGCTTCTTGTCTGCCATGGTTGAGAGGGTCCAGGCCTACTGTGACTTCTGAAGAGCATCCTAGGTGTCTCCCCCTTCTATTTAGTCCCTGTAGAGTGCAAGTGCGTTGGGAAACGGTGTAGACACCGGATAATAAGCTGCAGGTTAGAGAAAGAGAAGGAGAGGTGAGGAGAGGGCCCTAGGGAGACGGGAAGGGCCAAAGACAAACTTAACCCACTTCACAGCACCGTTCAGAACCTGCCCTTTTAGACAACTGGACACAGTTTTCTAACGAGAACAGCAACTAGCTAGAAATTGGTTTGTAACCATTAAGAAAATTTTACTATTGCTCCTGAACCCTTGACATCACAAACAGAAGCATATTCTTGACATCTTTAGATAATCTGAGAAACAATTAAAAAAAATAAAACAGCAAAGGCCTATAATCCCATGGAATAGACAAGATCTTACCTAAGATCCTTTTCAATTGGTTGAGAAGCTTACCAACCCAACCATCCCAAGAAGACAACCCAAAGAGCACATTATAGGTACCCTACAAAGCTGTTCATTAGCACTGACATTTAGAAATGGTCAGGAACCCTGACAAGCCAAGTGTTGGGGCTTGTCCATGGGCTTCAGGCTCAGATAATGGCAGGGAAACTGTAAACTTAGATTGCAAAGAAACGGCTCACTTACTTCCACATCTGTGAATTCAAGTGTTTCTCTACCATGGAGTTTAGTGCGAACCGAAACCGATCCCATCTTCTATCAAACACATAGTACCCTCGTCCCATGAGGCGACTCCCGAATGAGCAGAACTGTGAGGGGGGGAAAGGAAAACATTTTAATTTTGATTACAGGTTAATAAGCTAATATGAAGCACACAGAGAAAAATAACATTTGCATAAAAACACACAGGGGTACAGTTTTCCTCAGAATAAAATAGACGACTGGTACTGAAGCCAGAACGCTTTCTGTGGATCCTCGGCAGAACCTCGCATGCGAGCCAGTGATTGTGCCACTCGGAGAGCCACGCGCCACCTCTAAGATGGAGCCAGTATTTTAGGATAGAAAACAAGAGAACAGCGACAGCCAGAGACTTCACAGCTCCAGCTCCTCATCACACGACCCATTATCTCCAGGAACACAGGGTTCCCTGCCTCCCTCCCTTTCTTCCGGGAAAGAAAATGAATGACTCCTGACTCCGCCTGTCTGAGGCCACAGAGCCAGCTGCTTCCTTCCTCCAGGAGCTGCCCTTCCATGCCAGTCCCAACTGCATCTGCACCATTTCGTTTATTTTTATGTGCTTTGGTGCTTTGCCTGCACGTAGGTCTGTGTGAGGTTGTCAGAGCTTGGAGTTACAGACAGTTGTGAGCCGCCATGTGAGTTCTGGGAAATGAACTTCCTCTGTGAGAGCAGCCAGTGCTCTTCACCGCCGAGCTATCTCTCCAGCCCTTAAAACACGTCTGTTGTTGTTGTTGTTTTGTTTTGTTCTGTTTCAGACAAGGTCTCACTATGTAGCTCTGGCTGTCCTGAAACTCACTATGTAGAGCAGGCTAGCCTCTAACTTACAGAGATCCACCTGCTTCTGCCACATCTGCCCTCTTTATCTGCTCTCCTAAGATGCCCAGGGTGCACCACTCTTCTGAGCCCTTACCCAGTACCCTCTGCCTGATGTTTCCCTCTTTGGCAATTACGGTCCTACCCTTTGATGCCCAACTTATATTCTCAATTCTAATGGCCTCGTCCGACTGATCCTCCCACTGTGGATACCGACAATACGTCTGCTATACATTGTATTACATTTCACTTCGACTCATTATAGCGTAGATGTAATTACATGTGATAGCTACCAATCTATAAAGTGTGGGGACTTCATTCTCTTCCTCCTCAGTCTAAGGATCATTGAGATTAGGAATTAGAAAAAAAAAATTAGGATTTAGGAAGCTGAGGCAGAAGCATTAAAAGTTCAAAGCCAGCCTGAGCTACACAGTGAAAGTGTCTAAAAAAAAATTAATTTTTTTAAAAAAAAGTGGACTGGGGAGAAAAGGTTCCAAAGAAATGTCTAAAACAAACCACTGCATTTAAAACTTACAACTGAAATATCATGAATGTAGTAAGCACTGGCTATAAGGCAGGACCCCTGAGGGCCAGTAGACACAAATGTAAGAAGCAGCCTCTGGGAAGGTGACATTTGCTGGGTCTAGAGCTCAGGGAAGCCTTCAAATGACTCTATAATTCAAATGGCTCCTTCCCACCCCCCACCCCAGGTCTCCAGCAGCTCCCTGGATGCAAGCCCAGACTCAGTGTTGGACTGGCACCCATTCCACAAATGCATCTTGGAACCAGCCTTTGGAGCCGTTGTCAGGAGGAACTAACCGCAAGGTCTTCCATTTGTTCTGTTTCTGCTTGAGTTGTGGGGCGGGGGGGGGGGGTATTAAAACCTTGCGACCCACAAAATCTGATACCTCAAATTACTTACTACAGCTAGTTCTTGCTGTCCAAGGAGGAAAACGTACTGGGGACTCTTCAGCACAGAAGCTGGCCCCCACCTGCCTGAGGGAGCTGATCCTGGGGTAGCCATCACCCCCTCTCTCGCCCCAATTGCTAAGGACATTATGAGCAAGGGTTTATTACAAAAAAAATATGATTTAATGTGTCAATTGGCCATGAGAAAAAAAGGACAAAGCAAAGACACAAACCCACAGGTTTTTCCATTTTAATCAGCAAAACATTAAGGGCCTATGAATGTCCTGTGGATGTGGCTAATCTTCTCTATCAGCTTGCCCTGTGGACAGACGTCTTGATGCTCTCCAGAGCCTGGCCTTTTGGGAGGGGCCAGTATCCCTTTCAGACTCGGAAGCTGGAGACCCCTTTGGTTTTGGCTTCCAGTGTATCTAACAGCACTTAGATGCGAAGCCAGATAGTGAGAGAAGCTGGCACCGTGTGCCTCTGGCAGAGCGGCAGACCTCTCTGCTGCACTGTCATCTCCAGCGTCCTGACCTACGCGGCCCTGTCTTCCTGCTAACACAAGCGCACTATTGACTTGATACCTTGTGTGCAGCAGTAACAGAGAAGCTGTGTCTCCTCTCAGACCTCGGAATGAGGCACAGCTGGGTCACCACACTCCGTTCTTTCTCTGCCACCTGCCAGTGCAGCAGTAAACACGTGGCAGACTTCTACAGCGTACACGGAGATGTCTGCTGGGGTTTCATGGGAAGCTCAGCATTTGGGAAGACCCCTTTTTCCCCGATGCTCCCTCTCTTCCCATTTAGAATGTCACTAGGTGCAGATTTGACAGTGGAGCTATAGAGGATGTATTAAAACATGAACAGCCAAGGTATTTACAGATAGTAGAGAGGTTGAACCATGCTTGCAAGGACACCAACTTCTAGACTTCTTACCATGTGAAATAATGAAATGTTCCTAGTGTGAACATGGAGGCGCTGGGTTTTCTACAACTGTAGGCAAAATAATTACAGCGGGTCCCTCGCTATTTCTGTTCTGGCACAATCTCAAGTTAGAGGTGAGCCATAGGTCGACATCATCTCCAGAAAAGGGAAGTGACTTACAGGGAGGAGAAGGGACCAGCCTTGTCTTCCAACAGGATTGATTTCATTGACAAAGCCCCTGAGGTTTGAGTCAGTCAGAGTTAATCCTTCAGACTCAGGCAAGCACCAGAATAAACCACCATGGAGACCATATATTCCCAGGGCCCCAGCATTGGGATGTGTGGCTGTGGATCCCACCAGCCACTTCCTTTCTCAGGGGGTTGGTGAGGCAAATGTGAACAAGCTTCCAACCAATGCCTTCATTTCCCCTCTGGCATGGATGACCACCTGCTCCTTCAGACAGGTTTTGTGAGCAAGCCGTCGGGCCACGTGAAACACTGCCCTCACCACCAGCTCTGCTGCCGTGTGGTCACTGCTTACTAACCACCATCAAACAGAGCTGTCCGGGAGACTGAACCTGAGCTGCTGCTCAGACAGCTTCAAGAGCAGGTGCATCTGGCCAACTCCTGCCCAGAGGCTCTGCTTTCAGACGCGCAAAGTCAGGTTGGCTACCAAGCAATCTTAAAAGGTGACAGCCAGTGGGGAGCCCCTCCCTTTCCTTCTGCGGTCAAGGGCATCGCTAATTCCATTCAGCCTTTGAGGTGACACACTACTATAGATTTTTC